CTTCGGGTGCTGCTGCACATAGCCGCTCAGCGCGACTACGAGCTCCACTCTCTTGACTTCAGTACTGCTTTCTTGCAGGGTAGCCTGCACGAGGAGATCTGGCTGCGCCGTCCACCTGGCTTCACTGGGACTTTTCCTCCTGGCACCCAGTGGAGCCTCCGACGGCCAGTCTACGGTCTCCGCCAGGCACCGCGTGAGTGGCACGACACACTGAGGACTACGCTTGCGGCTCTTGGGTTTGCTCCCTCTACTGCTGACCCGTCGTTGTTTCTGCGCACCGACACTTCTTTGCCGCCGTTCTACGTCCTCGTGTACGTCGACGACTTGGTCTTTGCCACAGCTGACACTGCTGGACTAGCCTACGTGAAGTCCGAGCTGCAGAAGAGACACACGTGCACAGACCTGGGTGAACTGCGCAGCTACCTTGGCTTGCAGATCACTCGGGACAGAGCACGCCGCACCATTACCTTGACTCAGTCACACATGGTGCAGCAGGTCCTTCAGCGCTTCGGCTTCACGTACTCCTCGCCTCAGGCCACTCCTCTGTCTACTCGCCACTCGCTCTCAGCTCTGCCTTCGGATGAGTCCGTAGAGTCGAGTGGCCCGTACCCAGAGCTTGTTGGCTGCCTCATGTACCTGATGACCTGCACACGACCTGACCTTGCATACCCTCTTAGCATTCTTGCACGCTATGTTGCTCCTGGGAGACACCGACCAGAGCACATGGCTGCAGCTAAGAGGGTGTTGCGCTACTTGTGCAGTACGTCGGGCATGGGGCTAGTGCTTGGAGGGCGGAGTCCAGTGGTCCTCACTGGGCACGCGGACGCTTCTTGGGCAGACGACCAGGCTACACAGCGGTCGTCGCAGGGTTACACCTTCAGTCTTGGTTCCGGCTCTGTCTCGTGGCGGGCTACTCGCTCGTCCTCTGTTCTCAGCTCCAGTTGTGAGGCTGAGATCTTCGCCGGGGCCATGGCTGCACAGGAGCTTCGCTGGCTCACCTACCTGCTGACTGACCTTGGAGAGCCGCCTCGTTCTCCTCCAGTGCTGTACGTAGACAACAAGGCCATGCTGGCCTTGTGTCGAGAGCAGCGCTTGGAGCACAGAACGAAGCACATTGCTCTCCGTTACTTTCTTGCTCGTGAGCTGCAGCAGCGTGGTCAGTTGCGACTTGCTTACGTGGCCTCTGAGGCCAACACTGCTGATGTGTTCACCAAGGCACTTGCGCCTTGTGACCATCAGCGCTTCTGCACCCAGCTGGGTCTTGTACCTGTCTTGCCTCACTTGCTCTCTTCTTGACCTTGCTTGTACTGTTACATATATATACCTGCTCTTGCTTGTCTAGCTCTATATATATATGTGTACTCCTGCATGTGAACTGGCCTTGTGGCCTTGTCGTTGTGCTCGGACTGTGTGGTGACTTTGTGATCCACCCTGAGCTTGCTCTGCTTTGCTTGACTGGTCTTGTGACCCCTTGTTCTCCCCCACTTTGCCTATGGGGGTGTGTCAGAACATTATATAGCTTATGCTGTTGTGTAGGCTATAGTGGGGTATCCCATAAGGGGTACAACCCAATTAGGGTTTCCTATTTGTACTCACTTCATTTCATAGTTCACCCATTTTCTCGTTCTTCATTTTCACAGCCTCCATGTCGGGGTAGTGTGCGTGGCGCCCCCGCCCCCCCCCCCCCCCCCCCCCCCCCCCCCCGTGCATCCGCTTGCGGCAGTTCGCCGCTCCCTTGTAGACGCCCGCAGCAGCCTCCGCACTCCAGCGTCTGATGCAGGCGATGGATGCGGTAGAATCCAAGGATGTCTTCTTCAAGGAGCCGAGCTCCTCGTAGCTTCGCGCCGACTTGCGCTTCTCGCGTGCGGTCCATCCGCGTCGCCTTTTCTTACTGTCCTTGCTGCGAGGGGAAGGTGGATGGGAGTTCGGATTATGGAGGGTGGGGTCTTTCGGCTTCGCCTTCTCAGGGAATGAAGGAATCGGGCCTGCAGCCTCCGCGTAGTCATCGCCGCTGCCGAGCGCCTCGTTGACCACGATGTCGTCCTTGTTTGGCGTTTTCTTCTTCTTCTTCTTCTTAGCAGCACCCGTGCTGGATCCGGGGTCGCCGTCGTTCTTCTGCTTCTTGTTGCTTGTGCAGCGAAGAACGGTGGCCTTAGCAGGGGCTTCCGCGAGCTTGGTTTTCCCCTTGTCTGCAGCAGTGATGCGCGGTTGACGCTCATCCCCCGGACTGTCGTCATCAGAGAGCACCACGCGGGCACGCTTCGGCTTGGACTGTAGGCGATGACGCGGCCTCCGCTTCAGAAGCGGAACATCATCGTCACCCGTGATGTTCCACGGGTTGTCATCGGAGTTTTCACCGTCAAATAAGACAGCATCAGCTCCTCCCTCCGCAGCATCCGTATCCGCCTCTGCCACAGCATCCGCATCCGCATCCACAATTGCGGCCACATCCGCGGGCGCAACAGCATCGGCATCCGCTTCCGCCTCCTCTTCCGTCCTCGCTTCCGCATCCGCCTCGTCGTCAGCCTCTGCATTCGCATCCACCGTCGCTCCCGTTGCATGCGCCGCTGCCTCCGCATGCTCACCATCATCATCGGCACCCTCGTCATTGTCCGAATCACCGGCCTGCCACTCTTCCACTTCGTCGTACTCCCAACCGGCCGATTCCACCAGTCGTCCTCGTCAATGTCGGCAGGGGCTATTTCATCCCCCGAAGCGCTGTCGTCGTGGCCGTTCTCCGGCCAATCCTCCTCGCCGTCGTCGCCGTGTTCTTCGTTGCCATCGTCGCCGTCTTCTTCGTCGCCGTCGTCCCCGTCACACCGGAGGCGGCGGTAGATCTTCCCGCCTTGCGCGTATTCTTCGTCATGGCTACACGGATGTCATCACCGGGCGAGTTAATTCGCCCGTAGTTATTCACCTGCACGTGAGGGCGAGGTGAGGACGTGCCTACGGGACTTTGCTATGCATGCTTAAGCCTGCCGAGAGCGGAGGTTGAGTTGAGATCTCAACCTCCTTGAGCACCAAATGAAGCTCAAGCCCGACTACCCCCCCCCTAGCGAGAGTGCCCCTTCCAAAGGTGCCGAGCCGCTCGTCTACGAGGAATCGCCTCGTAGAGGACAGCCCTCACGCTGCCATCGTGCTGCCAGCAGCGTTATGGAAGCATCCATGCGCTGCTGGCAGCAAAACGACGCTGGCAGCATTATTACATGCTGCCAGCACGGAGGGATGTTGCCAGTAGTGGCAGCTTTGCTGCATCCCTCACGTAGCAAGTGGGGGCGCTACATGCATCACCACAGAGGTCGTTCTGTTTCAATGAATCTGGCCCCTGGGATTTCTACACACTTAGCAAATGTTACAGATTACTTATATTTTTTTTCCATTTATAAGACTTATAAGACACCCTAAACCATCCCAAATACAAGATAACCCAAGCATTTTGAGTAGTGTACGAGATAAGACATATATGTCTACTATCCGGGCGATGACGGTATTGGGACCGTCCGTTTCGATACAAGTGGACTATCCGTGAAAACATAAAAAAAATAAAAAAAAAGAGACACGCCCTAAAAGCTGGATGATTCGTTTGTGCTATATCGAAACCGTGCATCTCTATAACAATGTTTATCTACACTAAATACAGAAAATCACTCTTTTATACGCTCTACTGAAGAACTTAACAGTACCACTTTTCTATAATTGGGCCACTAATTAAAAACCATACTAGTACACTTGCTGCTGTGTGTGATCAGCTGGTTCATTCAGCAAGGGTAGCTAGCTGACATTAAAAGTAATCTGCAAGGCTCCAATTGCAGCAACCCACAATGCTGAAGCAAACCTTTCTCTCACTTCTGTAACAGCAGCTCCCCACACCCAAGCTAAAGCAGGAGAAATAAAGTACCGTGTATTCTTGAAATTTTAGTGCGCCATTTAACTACCGCAACCCCTCATGAATGTGACACAAGATCAGGAAATTGCACTAGGGGGTCAAGGGAGGAGGAGGGGTAAGGGGACATGGAAGTGTAGATTGAGCCACACATGTCTGGCAGCCCAATGGGAAAAAACTCAAAAAGAACGAGCCGCTCTGCTAGAGCCTTCTTGATGCACTTGCATCCTGTCCTGAGCCAAGCCAACCCACCCTTGTTCGGTTTCAACCGAACACTGAAGATGCTGTTGCGGTGCGGTGCGGTGGTGGCACTGCACTGCCCAGTATCACCTGCTGCTCACGAGGGAGACCAGTCATTCCTGCTAACCAATCCCTATAGCATGCTGATTTGTCAAGATTCTGTAACCAGGGCTAGAAGTAACCTCTGGTACCCGTGCATCATTTAGAGTCTTGAGGCTGGGGTCAGCTGGTGTTGGCGCGAATCCATGGGTGATCTGGAAGGATTGGTGGGATGGGTGACAGTGGGGGTGGTAACATGGCAACTACTTTCTTCAGTCGACTCAAAAGGCACCTCGAGCCTTCACTGAGAGGCTGAGGGTCAGCTGGTGTTGGCGCGAATGCACGGGTGATCTGGAAGGAATGTTGAAATGGTGACAGAGGGGAATGGTGACAATAAGGGATAGTGACATTGGGAGATGGTGACAATGAGAGGTGGTGACGATGAGGGGTAGTGACAACAAGGGATGGTCAGGGATTCTGTGCTTGAGGGTGATCAAACAACAACTTGCCCTCACATGCAGATGCATGGACATGGATAGTATGTCAATATGCACTTGGATAGAGATACATGCATGTGGATGAGTGCACATGAATTTGAAACGAGCACTGGAATGTTTGGTCACTCAATGAGATGAAAGAGCATTGAATCAATCGAATGAACATCCAGTACTTAAAATGGGCATACATGCAAATGAACATTTCAAAAGAGAAACAAGCATGCATTCTTTGAAAAAAAAGATAGCAACGGAACGAACACCCAAACGTTGAAATGAACAGCCAATCGTTCAAATAAACATTGAAATAAACACCCCCTACCAACTTAAAATCCCAAACGCACCGAGAATTTCTTCTGCAGTGATCCTCTTCTTGGGGTTCCGCGTGAGCATCCTGACCACAAGATCCTTGGCCTCGTCCGAGATCGACGGCCACGGAGGCCTGACGAGGTTCAGCGTGGCCTGCTTGATGGCCTCAAAGATGGCGTCGTTGGTGGTGCCCCAGAAGGGCGGCAGGCCGCACAGCAGGATGTAAAGCACCACCCCCGCACTCCAAATATCGGCCTCTGGGCCGTATTTCTCGGCGAGAACCTCTGGAGCTAGATAATAGGGGCTGCCTGCCATGTCTGTGCACGGCTTGCCTGTTGATGGGAGGAGGGGGGAGGGGAGGCGAGAGGGGTTTGGGGGTGGAGGCCTGACGAGGTTCAGAGTGGCCTGCTTGATGGCCTCAAAGATGGCGCCGTTGGTGGTGCCCCAGAAGGGCGGCAGGCCGCACAGCAGGATGTACAGCACCACCCCTGCACTCCAGATGTCTGCTTCCGGGCCATACTTTTCGGCAAGAACCTCTCGCGCGAGGTAGTACGGTCTGCCTGCCATGTCCGTGCACGGCTTGCCTGGGGGGAAGGAGGAGGGGGTGGAGGGAGGGAGAGCAAGGGATGGCAGCGAGGGATTTAGAAGATGGCGTCGTTGGTTGTACCCCAGAAGGGCGGCAGGCCGCACAGCAGGATGTACAGCACCACCCCCGCACTCCAGATGTCTGCTTCCGGACCGTACTTTTCAGCCAGGACCTCTGGAGCCAAGTAATACGGGCTACCTGCCATGTCCGTGCACGGCTTGCCTGGGGGGATGGGGGAGGAGGGGTGGAACGTGGCAACACCCCGGTCAATCACTTTCACCACCGTGCTGCAGACTGCTGCTACCTGCCACCTGCCACCTGCCACCTGCCACCTGCCACCTGCCACCTGCCACCTGCCACCTGCCACCTGCCACCTGCCACCTGCCACCTGCCACCTGCCACCTGCCACCTGCCACCTGCCACCTGCCACCTGCCACCTGCCACCTGCCACCTGCCACCTGCCACCTGCCACCTGCCACCTGTCACCTGCCACCTGCCACCTGCCACCTGTCACCTGCCACCTGCCACCTGCCACCTGCCACCTGCCACCTGCCACCTGCCACCTGTCACCTGCCACCTGCCACCTGCCACCTGCCACCTGCGAGTGTCGTGGCAGTGCTTACACAATACCAACCAGGTAAGCTCACCTTTCTGGAAGAATGTAGCAACTCCCCAGTCGATGACTTTGAGGTCCGTGTCGCTCTGGTTGGAGACCAGAAGGATGTTCTCGGGCTTTAAGTCGCGGTGCATGATGCCGGCGCCGTGGCAGTGCCTCAGCACCAGCACCACCGTGCAGCAGAGCAGACCACGGCACATTGAGTGGGGTGGATGGACAGGACAGAAGCAACCACCCCACCACCACAACAACCAGCCAGCCAGTCGACTGGCAGCGTAGTACCCACCACAGCCCAGCATCAGCAGAAACAGCTCACCTTTCTGGAAGAACGTGGCAACACCCCAGTCGATGACTTTCAGATCGGTATCGCTTTGATTCGACACCAAGAGAATGTTCTCGGGCTTTAAGTCGCGATGCATGATGCCCGCCCCGTGGCAGTGCCGCAGCACCAGCACCACCGTGCGAATCACCCTCGCCGCGTCGGCTTCCGGGAACTTTCCCCGCAGCTTGATGCGGTCAAAGAGCTCTCCCCCCTCGCACAGCTCCATGATCAGATGCACGTCCTGGTGTGGTGGAGTGCGGTAGGGATGGGTAGGATGGGGTGTTGGGGAGTGGTGAGGGTTGTTGAGGGGCGGGCTGGGTGTATGAGTTCCGCCCCCTCACACAGCTCCATGATCAGATGCACGTCCTGAGGGGGTGGTGAAGATATGGGGTAATGAGGGGTGGTGTGCGGTGGATTTGTGCTTCTTTCCAGCAGCTCGCTCCCTCGCACAGCTCCATGATCAGATGCACGTCCTGGCGGGGTGGTGAGCGGTGATGTGAGGTTGATTGGGGTTGTTGTGAGATGCAGTGGGGTTGGGTGGGTCTGTGTGTATGAGCTCCCATCCCCCTGCACAACTCCATGATCAGATGCACGTCCTGGGAGGGAGGTTGTGAGGGATGGTGGGGAGTGACGAGGGGTGGTGCTAGGTGGGGTGGGGTGGTGTGGTGGTGTGGTGTGGGGAGCGGTGGGTGGGGTCGACTTGTGCTTCCTCCCCCACCCCCTGTCCTCACCTGTAATTCCCCCCTCCTCACCAGCTTCCCCTTCCCTCTCCCACCCCTCTCTCACCCCTCTCCCACCTCTCACAAAGGCGTTGCGCAGGTTCACAATGCTGGGATGGCCCCTCCAGCACCCCATCTCAGCATGGATAACAAGTATGCCCTCCTCCCCTCCCCCCACCCCACATCCCTTTCACCCTCACCTGAGCGTCTTCAAATGCGTTGCGCAGGTTCACAATGCTGGGGTGCCCCTTGAGCATCTCCATCACCGCCACCTCCCGCCGCACGTCCTCTATGTCCTGCTGGCACTGTTGGGATGAATGGGGATGGGGATGGAAATAAGAGGAATGGATACGGGGGAAAGAACGGTGTTAAAGGTGGCCTCCCAGCATCTCCATCACCACTACCGTGTGCCATGGTAACGAGGTGACTTTTGAGTCGACTCAAAAGTCAACTCGAATGGGTACGATTTTTGAGTCGACTCAAAAGTCAACTCGAATGGGTAGAGGGGAAGGAAAGAACCCGGTGTTACAGGTGGCCTCTCAGCATCTCTTTTGAGGCGCCTCAAAAGGTGGCCTCTCAGCATCTCTTTTGAGGCGCCTCAAAAGGTGGCCTCTCAGCATCTCTTTTGAGGCGCCTCAAAAGGTGGCCTCTCAGCATCTCTTTTGAGGCGCCTCAAAAGGTGGCCTCTCAGCATCTCTTTTGAGGCGCCTCAAAAGGTGGCCTCTCAGCATCTCTTTTGAGGCGCCTCAAAAGGTGGCCTCTCAGCATCTCTTTTGAGGCGCCTCAAAAGGTGGCCTCTCAGCATCTCTTTTGAGGCGCCTCAAAAGGTGGCCTCTCAGCATCTCTTTTGAGGCGCCTCAAAAGGTGGCCTCTCAGCATCTCTTTTGAGGCGCCTCAAAAGGTGGCCTCTCAGCATCTCTTTTGAGGCGCCTCAAAAGGTGGCCTCTCAGCATCTCTTTTGAGGCGCCTCAAAAGGTGGCCTCTCAGCATCTCTTTTGAGGCGCCTCAAAAGGTGGCCTCTCAGCATCTCTTTTGAGGCGCCTCAAAAGGTGGCCTCTCAGCATCTCTTTTGAGGCGCCTCAAAAGGTGGCCTCTCAGCATCTCTTTTGAGGCGCCTCAAAAGGTGGCCTCTCAGCATCTCTTTTGAGGCGCCTCAAAACTCAGCATCTCCTCCATCACCACTACCCCCCTCCTCGCGTCCTCTTTCTCCCGCAAGCTTTCTTGAGTCCACACGCTCAGCACACGCTCAGCACACGCTCAGCACACCACTCACTCACCAACCGACACTCCCCTCCCTCTCTCCCTCGCCCCCGCTCCTATCCGTTGCCCCCTCTATTCTCACACACGGGCATTAGCCCCCTCAAATGCAACGAGCACCTCACCACCATGCATACCCCATCCCTCTCCTCCGCCTCTTGCCCTCCCTCTCTTACCCTCCCCCTCTCCCTGTCCTCCTTCCCCTCTCCGCCTCCCCCTTCCCCCTATCCCCCTTTCCCTCTTCCCTTCTCCCTGTCGCCCTTCCCCTCTACCCCTCCCCCTCTCCCTGTCCTCCTTCCCCTCTCCGCCTCCCCCCTCCCCCTATCCCCCTTTCCCTCTTCCCTTCTCCCTGTCGCCCTTCCCCTCTACCCCTCCCCCTCCCCCCCACCCCCTCCTCCACCTCCCCCTGTCTCTCTCCGCCTCTCCCCCTCCCCATTTCCCTCTTCCCCTCTCCCTTTTTCCCCCTCCCCACTCCCCCCTCCCCCAACACTCCACACACCTGCAGCATGCCCGTGCTAATCGACTTGCACACAAATCTCTTCCCTGAAACGCAGCACACACACCCCCTGCTCACACACACCCCCTGCTCACACACACCCCCTGCTCACAGCCGTGCTCACAGCCGTGCTCACAGTCGTGCTCACAGCCGTGCTCACAGCCGTGCTCACAGCCGTGCTCACAGCCGTGCTCACCCCCTGCACACACACAGCCGAGCATGGAACTTCAAACTGCATCCCTCCTTCCCAACACCCCACATACCTGCAACATGCTTTTGCCGATAGACTTGCACGCGAGTCTCTCCCCTGACACGTGGCACACACACACACACACACACACACACACACACACACACACACACACACACACCCCAATAACACAAATGCACATACACGCCCAACCAACCACTTCCCTCTGCCCCCCGCTTCTCCCCCACTTCCCCAACCCCTCCTTCCCAACACCCCACATACCTGCAACATGCTTTTGCCGATAGACTTGCACGCGAATCGCTCCCCGGAAACGCGGCACATGCACCCCCGGATCACCCCAAACCTCCCTCGTCCCAGCTCGTTTTTATCCACCTTATAAGCCTCCTTAACATCCGCTAAAGGCCGCTTCAATATATTCACAGTCCCCCCCTGATCCGCGCCCCCTCCCCCTCCCCCTCCGCCTCCCCCGACTCCGCCCCCTGCTCCCCCTCCCCCCCCCCCCCGCTGCTGCCGCTTCTTTTCTCGCTGCCCGAATCACCTCTCTGTTTTTTCTGGTCAGCCTGGCTTGTAACCCTTCCGGTGTGACTGGCCTCGCCCCTGGTGACGGTTGCGGCACCACTGCTACAGTGTTTCCCTGCGCTACACCCGCCGCTTTGTCCACGTCCGGCGTTTTCGGGCGGCTGGAAAAAACCGAGAAAATTCCTCTCCGGGCAGGTTTCTTTTCCTCCACTGCAATCCGGTCCACGGGCAGCTTCAAAGCCGCCACGTCAGCAACTAGTCTCTCCTTCTCCATCGTCCTCCTCTCCTTATCCGTCCTTTTCCTATCATCCTTCTCCTTCACCTCCCTCTCCATTCTCTTTAACTCCTCCTGTAGCTTCCGCCTCTCCTCCCTCTCTCTCTCAAGCTCCATAGCTAATCGCCTATGCTCCTCGTTCAAATGATTCTCCCCTTCGTATCTTCCTCCTCCGCCCCTCTCGTCTCCCCCGTACTCCTCCCTCCGCCGCCCATACCCATGCGAGGTATACGGACGGTCCTGGCTCCCATGCCCCCCGCCACCCCCGCTCCAGCCCCGTTCATCCTCATAGTCTTTAGATACCGAGTTAGACCGCAGACTTGTGCTGGGGGATCTCAGAGGTGCCCTGCGCGCGCCGCCCCCGCCCCCTCCGCCTCCGCCCAGGTCCTCGGGCATAACTTCGGAGGCGGAGCGCGGGACTGTGCGCATCCTTCCGCCATCCCCCCCCCGGTCGCGCTCCTTCAGGGACCCCCCCGGCCCCGCCAGTGCGGCTTCCGCGGTGGACATGCTCCGCGGGACGCCCGGGCGCCCATACGCGGAGTTCACGTCCGCCGTCCGCGGGCGCCTCCCCTCCGCCGTCCCCGGCCGCGCGAGCAGCTCCGCTCCGGACGGCGTGCGCGGGCGCAACTCTGCCGCTCCGCCGCCGCCTTCCGCCGAACTGCGCCGGCCGAAGCTCCGCGCGCGCCCGCTCAGCGACGGATCAAGGCTCCCCGGCCCCCCGCGGGAGGGCGGGCGGCCGGCGGATTCCACCGGCCTGAGGTGGGACCTCCCCGGAGTGACCGCCTCGTCCGCGTTCCGCCCCCCGCCGCGGGACGCCGACCGCGGGGGAGGCGTGCGCGGGGAGCCTTCATACCCCCCTCCCCCGTCCCGCTCGCGCGGATTCACGCGCCTTCCGCTTCCGCTTGATCGCTCGTCGTAATCCCCGTCCGCGCCGTACTCGTCGCGCCGAGAGCCGGACGCGCGGCGGCGGGACGACGAAGTAGACGAATCCTTTCCCGGGGAATCTATACCATCCCCCAGCTCTCCGCCTTCTAATTCGCACAGCGAATCTTCCACCCAGCGACTCACGGCGCGCTCCTTAGAAGGAGACATTAGAGGCAAGTCGCCCTCCGCGTCGCCCTCCGCTAAGTACCTAACTCTATCTCGGTCCCTAAAGCTGCTTCCGCGGTCTCGCATTTCCCGTTCTCGGTCCCTGTACCCCCCTCGTTCGCGGTCCCTGTCCCTGTCTCTATCGCGGTCGCGGTCCGCTTCGCGCACCGCGGCTCCGGAGTTCGAAAGATTAATCTTCGCGGACTGCGACTTGTGGAACGCGCGACGCGGCGGCGAGCCCTGCCCGCGATACCCGGTGGAATAAGAACCAGAGTGCGGCAAACTCGGCGCCTCATCCCCGAACCCTTCCCCTCCACCTTTCGTACTCGCGCTTCCGACTAGCCTCCGCGGCGGCCATTCCCCGCTCGCCCCGCTAACTCCGTCTACGTCATCGTCAGCTGACGGACCTGGACGGGACGGCATCCGCCGGCCGCCGCTAGTCACCGGCCGTTGCGGCGGAGGCCCCGACGACGACGACGACGACGCCTGCCAATCCGGAACGCGGCTGCTGCTGCCGCTTCGCGGACTCATCGCCGCGCCGCCGTCCTCCGGCCGCCTTGGCCGGCGGACGCCGCCAGAAGTCGACGGCCGGCACGGCGGCGTCTCCTCGCTGCTGCTTCCGCGAGAGCGATCCCGAGGTAAAGAACCGTTTCCTGTTCTGCTGCCGCCTCCGCTGTCGTCATCCCAGCCGTCCTCTCGTGCTCTCCCCCGCCGCTCTTCCCGCACCATCTGGGAATGCTGGTGTGATGACACGTGGCTATTGAAATCGTTACTCGTGCGACTCGTCGACGAACTTAGAGGCGGCTCGAAGGTAGAATGCTGGCTGGACGACGCGTGGCTGTCGGAGTCGTTACTCGCGCGGCTCGTCGAGGATCCCTCTCCACCTCCCCCGAAGATAGTTCTGGGTGATTGGCCGCTTCCGGAGTGTGCTTTCCGGGAAACCCGGAGGCTGCTGTCACGTGTCGCCGTCTCGTTGGCGGACGAGTTCCCTATTCTGCGCACATTGTTTCCGCCCAGGCGCTCCGAGCTTCCTCCCATGCTAACGCCTTCATGATCGGCCGTGGCCGCGATTTGCGGAGAGGCAATTAGACGGTGTTACAGAACGGCAGCCACTGACTACGTGGAAAGTGAAATTAACTGGTCTCGAGCGTTTTTTTGTAATAAATTAAAACTCGAGTGGTTCTATCACTGAGAGAATCGTGTTTGATTGAGCACAAGCCACCTAACAGTCAGTCTGTGCGTTGCTGACGCCATTTCCCTCCTGCACAGTCTAAGCTGCACAAAACGCTTCTCGACTGTCCGCTCTCTTAGCTAATACACGTCTAGTTACTTCTGGTAAGACCCTTATGATAGACGCTCCTAGACGCACAGGTTGACTAGATGGAGGAAACCCTACTAAATTGTTCAGTGAGACATGGCAGCCTAGCAGGTAGTGGCCTCTCAGTGATTATGACGGAGATTTCTGAAAGGAAGTGATGAATGGGTATAACATCTTGCGAGAGTTTCTGAGCACCGCTCTACATGCTGTTATATCTTTACGAACCGTCCGAAAATGTTCTGAACCAGTAAAGGTGAAGACTCGAAATGGCTTTCACATAGACGCCTAGCCTTGACTGGCAACACTGTTGGGACCGACGGAAGTCCACAGGTAGAAACGAGGTGGTTTGGTATGGAGAAACAGTTGGCTGAGTGTCCGTACCTCAAGAGAGAGGTTCGGAGTAAGGTACGGGTAGTGGTTACAATGGAGGCTTGTTGATGAGAGCGAGCCCTGCTGGCGTCAGCAGGCACTGTGTTGATGAGCTTGGCAGCCGGGAACAATCTGGACATGATCAAACACGAAACTTAGCGTAATCGTATTTGGATAATCTGGTAAAACGATTAGCTAAGTACCACATCCGACCAGGGGGAAAACCAAGTAGAGAAATTACAGCCGAATCTCACATTTGAAGATTTTTAACGCAATACTGGTTTGGTTCAACCAAGCCCTGGGAATTGGGACCGCAGATTGATTTCATCTTGGAACATGGGACTTGAAATAAGTGGACGCTAGGCTTGGGCAAGGCAAGTCTCCAGGCTGGCCCCGTCTGCCCGCGTCGCAGGTCATTGATCAGGCCCAGGCTCGTTCAATTGGGGTGGTTTGGCCATCCGAACCATTTCAGAAACCAACGCTTGTGGCAGTGGGGGGGGTATGATTAGGCTGAGATGCGAGTGTTGTGTATAGGAATGAATGTCAGGTTCAGGTATTGGCAATAAACAGTGTACCTAAAACCCCAGACGACCAAAATAGTATTACCGCAGCTACAGTACAATTTGCACATTGAAGGACACCCATGCACATATTCATATCACAGCTACACCAACATGCATCTTCCTCAACACAATCTTGCCTGAGCGTTCTTACTCCAATTGGGGTCGTGTTTAAATTAATTACTCAGCTGGTGGCGGTGATGGTGGGGGAAGGGGGGAGAGGAGGGGGGGGGGGGGGGGGGGGAGGGGGGAGGAGGGCAGGGAGGAGGGGAGTCCGGAGGCGCAGGAGGAACAGCACCAGGAACGAGCAGCGCCATATCCGGAAAAAAATAAAAATCTGACAAGATATTTAATTCTGCTTAAGAATCCTCGCAGCAGCATTGTCCTAAATCACTCTGCTGGTGATGGTGGTGGTGGAGGGACGGGAGGAGGAGGAGGAGGGGAGTCCGGAGGAGGAGCAGGAGGTACAGCACCAGGAACCAGCAGCGCCATATCCGGAATAAAGAAATCCGAAGAGATATGCACCAGCGTCTGCACGATAATAGTGATATTCTGCCCCGAGCTCGTGATGTTCCGCGGCTCCTGGATATAAATAATATTCGGCCGAACGATCTTCACAGCAGGGTAACTCATAGGCGGCTCCGAAAACAGGGAAACCTCCTCCTTACACCCCGGCTCCCGGTAAAACCTCTTGAAGTACGGGCAGCGGGTCTTGGTCAGCGTGACAGACATATCCGTCAGCAGCGTTGGGAGCGACCCGGTCGACTTGTTAGTCAGCTCCGCGTAGGTCTGAATCCCGAAAACCCCCTGGTAACTCAGGAGAAGCGTCTCGGCCGCAGCGCCGTTGTCTGTGATAAGCTGCTTCACGGGTGCAGGGATGCGGGTGTGCGCGTCGTCGGTGGGAGCAAAGAAGGTGACGTTGGGGGAGGTGGCGGTGGTGAGGAGCGCGATGAAGCCGGATCGTACGATCATGTCGGCGGTCTTGGTGCATCCGAAGAGGCGCAGGCGGCTCATTATCGTGTCGTCGGCCGCAGGAGGGGGCGGCGAGGGAGGTGGGGGAGGGGGGTCGCTTGGAGAGGTTACGACTGGAAAGGAATTAGGGCAGGGAATGAGGGCAGGGGGGAGGGGGGAGGGGGGAAGGGAGGGGGGAAGGGGGAGAGGGAGGAAGCAAGAAGGAAAGCGATGATGAAAGGATGGGATTTAGTGAGGGAGCAGCAAGGAGTGGAGAGAGGGGTGCATGAAGAGGGGGAGGGCAGCGGTAAGATCAGAGCACGTCAAAAGACTTGGTGCAGGGTAAAAGGTGCAGGAGGGGATGGGAGGGGTGGAGGGACATGGTCAGATGAGAACGGGATGATGGAGGGAAAGGAGGAAAGACGATGGCATAGGGGAAGGGAAAACGAGCAGTGAATATGAACAGGTAATATATTCAGCAACGATGAAGAGTAACAATCAACAACAACGGACATGTGAGTCACTCATAGGAATGAACAACACGATGGAATGGCTCTTTGAGTCCTTTGAACAGACAACGACTGAGACATGACTCACCCATTGGTAAGACCATGGATTGGGCCGAAGCAGCATATGCCGCACTGAAAGGGTTAACTGCTGCTGCTGTTGCTACGCCTGCAGGGGAGGAGGAAGCGGAGGCGGCGGAGGAGGAGGAGGAGGAGGAGGAGGGGGAATCGAAGGGCGCTAGCAGCACTTTGACCGGCGGAATGAGCACTCGGTTGATCACATGTATCGTGATTCCATCCCCGCTAGCAGCATCCCCGCTACCAGCATCCCCGCTAGCAGCATCATCCCTGCTACTAGCAACTTCGTTAGCAGCAGCATCAGCTACGGTATTAATATCCGACGCGACAACCCGAGCCACTCGGCTCAGCAGGGGCACCATGGGCAGCGGCGAGAAGGCGAGGGCCTTCCCCACGTGCTCCGCCTTCACACTCCTCCCCTCCAGCAGCGTGTCAAATATCTCATACCCCTCGATCCCCGCCGCCTCTATCCCCGCCTCAAACTGCTTCGACGACACGCGGCCACGTGGCAGGATGTGATAGGCCACGAGGTTTCTAAGAACTAAGTCCGCCTTGGGACCCATCAGGAGGGCTTTAATGGGAAGAGGGAGGGTCCAGAAGGCTAGGTTGGTGGGCGCGAGGAGTGTAGCGGGGCCGGATAGGGAGTCTAGTATCCTTGTAGCGGCGAGGTTCTTAGCGAGTACAGTAAGGCCGCGCTTTGCTAGCTCGTCTATGGTCTGCTGGCGGGCGCTGAGTGATAGCTCAGGAAGCACACGCCTGGCACCTGAAGAAGCACCTGAAGAAGCACCTGAGGCCGCATCTGAGGAAGCACCTGATTCGGAACCAGGTTCGCCGTACACTTCCCGACCCTCAGAACCCGCTGCTGTCTCTAGCGCCGCTTCCCGAACCTCATCCACCTCGTCCGCTTCCCCTTCCCCCTCCCCTTCCCCCTCCACCTCCCCTTCCCCTTCCTGCGCCAAGTCCACGGCCATGTGGGGAGGCGCGGTGCTATAAGGCTCTGCCATGGGGGGAGGCGCGGCGCTATACGGCTCCCCGCGCGAGTCGTCAAACGAGATCAGCTGGCGCTTCGGGACGAACCCGCCCGTGGGCGGGGGCGGCGGCGGGGGAAGCGGGGAGATCGGGGTAGGCAGAGGGCGAGCGGGAGGGAGCGTGGGCGCAGAAGCCCTGAGTTTAGCCTCCGCCCAGAACGCCCCCCCTTCCGCCTCCAAGTCCCCCACCATGTCTAGCGCCTGGGTCCCCGCTGCTGCGGGGGCGGGGCCGGGGCCGGGTGCAGGGCCGAGGGGCGGGGGGACGGGCGCGGGGGTAGGAGGATCAGGAATGGAGAGGAGATCGTACGGAGGGATGAGCACGGAGCTGCTGACGTGTACGGTCGCGATGCCGTTGCTGAAGGACGACCCGGGGATGATGGTCGCGGCGGCGTAGTCCGGAGGCTCGGGGGAGAAACGGACAAATGTCGAGCCTACTTTCGTATCCACGGGATGTTCATCCAACAGGGTCGGATACTTGTTATTTCCCGCGGATCGCAACTGCTTCACTGTAAGCCGCTCCGTTATAACGTGATATTTCATCAGCCTCGGTAACACCTGTTCCCCCCTCGCGGTGAAAAACAGCTGCCGGACCGTCCAGGGGAGGAAGCGATACGCGAGCTGCGTCGGCGCGAGAACGGTAACCGGGTTATCCGCCGTCGCGAGATCCAGCACGCCGGACTGCGCGAGATTCGCGGCGGTGCGGCCCAGCCCGTGGCGCGACAGCCAGTAGAGCACCTGCTGCTGCGGGGTTAACGTTATGGAAGACGGTCGGATAACGGGACTCGGCACGGCCACTGGCGCTGCATTTCCGCGCTTCCCCGCACCTGCCGCGGCTGCAATTCTGCTGCCGAACGCGGAGGCGGATTCGACGACGTTTTTCTTCAATGGAGGCGGACGAATCTTCCCTCCACTTCCGCCGTTGGCGGGCGACTTGGTTTTGGAAACCGGAGGCGCGTTCTTAGACTTTGTCGCGGTGGTGGTGGTGGTGGTGGCGGAGGGTGATGCGTTGGGAGGCGAAAGGAGATCCAACGGCGGAACGAGCACCACGCTGACAGCCTGGCAGATCGCGAGCCCGTTATAAGCAACATCTTTTACAATCACAACGGTACCCGCGCTACCGCCACCAGCGGGCCTGGCGCTGCTGCTATCCGCAACCCGCTTTCCGCCGTCAGAGGGAGCAAACCAAAGAGACTCCCCTCCCGCGACTGTCGGCGCTGCGGGAAAGCCGGAGCGCCCGAATCCAACGGTCAGAGTCTGGTCTCTAAGCAGCGTCTTCACGCGCCGCCCTCTGAGCTTCAAGAAGTAGTTAAAATTAATCCGCGGCTGGAAAATGTGGTATAGAATGAGGTTCTTAAGTACGGCTTTCGCGTCCGGGCCTCTTAATAGCTTCTGTACGGCTTGCGGGAGATTAAGGAACGCGCGGTCCGAGGGGACGAGGAGGGAGAACCCCCCAGGGCGCGCGACGGTCGAAGGGAGTGCGGAGAGAACGTCCGTTTTCTCCAGAGCGGACGCGAAGGTTCGGAAGCCGAGCGAGCGAAGACGCGCGATGGTTTGGGTCGCGAGCGCGGACTGATCAGGGGAAGCGGAAGCGGAGGCGGAGGGGGAGGCGGAAGTTGCAGAGAGAGTTCTCCGCGGAAACTCTGCTGGAGGAAGAATGGAAGGGAGGGAAAAGAAAAAGCACGGGGAATGCATGGAGTTAGGAATGGGAAACAGATGGGCTAATGGGACAACTAGAGAGAAGGAAAACAGAGAGACAATATTGGCGGAACGAGCAGCCACGAAAACAGGGAAGTGGGTCTATTTTTTAGTAACCTAAAACAGAAGACGTTGGAACGAAGAAGACACGAAAACAGAAAAGCGGAAGCAGAAACGAGCTTCGAGATCTTCAAAGCAGTCATGAGTGGGAACAAGACAGGAATACCCGGGAGATGCGGCAGGTGAAGTAACATCAGACATAAGTTACCTTGACGGGCAACGTCGTCATTGACGGATTCCGTCTGCGCGTCTCCCTCCTCTTGAACCTTTCCCGCCAAAACATCGTCTTCACTTTGTAGCACATCCGCTGCAGTCACACCGCGAGCTCTCAGTTTCTCTCCCAGATGATACGCTTGCTCGTACGACACCTCCTCCTCGCCGGGTCTGGCTGCGAACTTCCTCTCGTACGCCATAATGAGTTCCTCGTCATCCGCGCTAAAGATGGGGAAATCGAAGTTCTCAGACGGATTCTGGCTAGCGCCTGAAGGAGATCCGTCAGCGGAAACGAAAAAGGAGGTATGAGCGAGAAGCACTAGCAGAATAAGAGACGGAGCGCAAATGAAGCGGCGCGGGGACCTCATGGTAAGCCAGTGGGAGAGACTGGCAAGAAAACAGGGTTAAATACGGGAAAAGCTATGAACGCGAGAAACGCGGAAAGACACGAAATCGGCCCCGCTAGTTTAGGTTAGATACCATTAACTAGGTGACGAGAAAGACTTCTCCTACTTAACACCTGGTACCACAGCCCTCTCGGGCATTGTCATACCTATGGCAATGAAAAAAAACTAAGGCAATGGAGAGCCTCTAGTGTCAAGTTCCTAATTTGCACTAAGGGCAGTCGCAACAGGGTACAGTAGTAGTTTGTGCAGTCGCAAAAAGGGAGACTCCTATGGCGGCCGTCAGGTTTTTCGGTAAAACTACATTCTTCGCGGTACTGCTTTTTTCCGTGAGATTAAGTGCTCTGTAGCATGGTGGAGGGTCCACGTTGACAGAATGTACCATACCCCCACGAACGACAAACTGACAGCGAATTGAGTCGGAATCTGACTATTTTCGACTGCAACCGTTTGACTCCGTCCAACAGATTTTTCAGCCATTGGCGTTGAAGGAAACGGAACAAAACCTGCCGTCAAGCTGACCGTCAGCCACGACGGACTGCGCTGGAACCTGTCCCCCAAGTTTGTCACGTTGCATGAGATTCGTTTTTCCGCGAACATCCCTCCCTTTGCTGGATGCCTGCCTCCCTCCCCCAGGGTGTGTGCCTGCCTGCATGTCTCCCCTGAGTCAAATCCGTCGGTGGGGGGAGTTTCCCCCCTCTAGCCCCTACACCACCCCACCGACCAAACCCCAACTACCCTGCGGAACGGGTTCATCGTGCCCGCGAAACTGGTTCCGCTGAGAGGCATGGCTCCGCTCCGCAAAAGCTCTTCCGCGCAACACCTTTGCGATATAGAAGTGGAGCCACTCGATATAATACGATACACTTTCAGAACAAAAACAGAAGGAACCAGCTATACATCTAGGCAGGATTTATTGGCCCATAGCTAAGTACACCGCTCTCGTCAAACTCCCTATCAGAATCTTCAAGTGATTGACCTCGAAATGAAAACCTGCTTGGCCTATCCGGATCCCCCACCAGGGAAGCGTTTCTCCTATCTCGCCCCAACCCACCACTGCCTCCCTCTTGCAAATTCCAATCAAACGACAGCTCCACGCTTCAACCCTCTCCTATAACACCCCCCTCCCTGATATCATCATGACCTTGCCGTACCTCTCCTCGTATCTCTTCCATTACTGTCACATTATTCGACTCCCTAATATCTTGCACATTTTCATTGTGCGCCTCTGAAACCCTCTCGTCCCCGACTCCTCGGGACAAGCTTATATCATGTTGGTGGTGTATTTGCCGTGTTACCGCCGATGTAACCGGGAGCACTCGCTCAGGCTCTAACACCGACTCCAACTCGGTTACCACACGGTTCATGGACGGCCGGGCGGCAGGGTTCTTGATGTCCGTGCATTTGAAGGCCAGGGTGAGCACGCTGGTGACCTCTTTTTCAGCGTAAATGCCCATGGATTGGTCAACTATCCCTGCGAGCCCCTTCTTGTCCAGCAAATCTTGGACCTGAGAAAAATGTGGCGAGAAAAAAAAAGGGGGGGGAGGGGGTGTTTGCGGGGAGATGAGTGAGGGAATATACTGGGGAGAGTCTGCAGGAATTAGTCTTAACGTGGGAGTTTAGCAAATGTGGCAAAGAGTCTTAAAAAAAAAAAAAAATGCTTGCTGAAAAACCAAGAAAGTTTATCCAGTCATGGATCCAAACAGATGGCACACATAGAGTCCAGTTTCTATGTGCGAGAGCATGAACACGAGAAAAGCTGCACCAAAAAAGAGGAAAGCTAGAAAAGGTTTTCTGAAAAAAAAGTTGTGCCCACTCAATTGGAAGCGGTGGAGCCTAGAAACGATTCTGCAAACCCTAAACCGTTTTTTTCCTTCCTTTTTTCTTCTGTTCGTTTTTCCCTTCCTTCTGTAAAACAAAGGCATGTTCCCGCTCACATGGAAGCAGTATGGTCTGGGTATGCCTCTTGGAGACTTGCCAGTAATATGATGTTCAAGGCAACACAACAATTTTTGGGGAAGCGGTTGCGGTGGGTGTCAACTCAAATGCATACTACTACTCACGTGAAAGCGGTACGGCCTGGAGATGCCTCTGGGAGACTTGCTAGTGATGAGCTCCAAGGTGACTCAACCACAGGATCCAACTCTTCTGTCAACTTAGAAGCATGCTCGCACTCACATGGAAGCGGTACGGCCTGGAGATGCCTCTGGGCGACTTGCCAGTGATGAGCTCCAGAAGCACGATGCCAAAGCTGTACACGTCTATGCGCTTCGATGGCTACCCAGTCTTCAAGTAATCCGGGTCGCAGTAGCCCTCTGAGGTAGTGGGGAGTACAGTGGTGGGGAGCAAGGGACGTGAGCCCTTGGCTGTACACGTCTATGCGCTTCGATGGCTGCCCCGTCTTGAGGTAATCGGGGTCGCAGTAGCCCTGTGACTTTGTGGCAAAGGGTGGGGAGCGTGAATGTGACCAAGGGGGGTGAGCATGGGACATCAGCATGATTCATGCAAAACGCCTCTAGGAGAACTTCAAGCTCCTCAAAAGGAGAATCCCAGAGTTTTGAGACGAGTTTTGAGGCGCCTAAAAAAAACAGAGATAGTTTTGAGACGTTTCAAAACATGATTTCATGCATAACTCCTCTAGGAAAACGTCTCATGAGTTCGCGCCTCAAAAGGAGAATCTCAAGTGATGAGCTCCAATAGCAAGACGCCACTTGTGTACACATTGATGTGCTTTGATGGCCACCCTGTCTCAAGGTAATCCGGGTCACAGTAGACTTGCATGCGCGTGTGTGATTATATGGAGAGGGGTTTTGAGGTGCCTCAGAACTTGAGGTAATCCGGGTCACAGTAGACCTGCATGCTTGTGTGTGATTATATGGAGAGGAGTTATTTGCAGACTGATCAAGTGGAACATGGAGACGATCGAGTGATTGAGTGACTGAATAGGGTACGGCGATGAGTCATGAGTCCATGTGTTTTGACACGTCTCAAAACTCGAGTGATTGAGTAGGGTACGGCGATGAGTGATGAGTCCACGACTCTTGACGAGTCCATGTGTATTGCATGTAAGCACACACCTGGCACCTGGAATCCCTCACCCTAAGTGCCCTGGATGGTTGCGGAGTACGAACGATGATGTGTCCACGGCTCTCGATGTGCCAACGTCTGCCTTTGAGTCGACTCAAAAGCAGCTTCGTGTGCGTTTTTTTAGAATTCTCAAAAAACACACGCGGCAACATGTGTACTGTCGTGCACTGACAGCTGCTCGTGTTGTTCAATACGTACCGCTGTACCTTGAATGGTTGCAGAGTACGATGACCTGTCCACGGCTATCGATGTGCTTGTGTATGTTTGTTGCACGCACGTGTTCACAAACCTAGCGCCTCTCACCCTCCACAACTCACCGCTGTGCCCTGAATGGTTGCAGAGTACGATGATGTGTCCACGGCTCTTGACGTTCCAAAGTCTGCCAGCTTCGCCACCACGTGCCGATCCAAGAGGATGTTGCCGGGCTGTGCAGAGCGATTAAGATAGATAAAAAAAAGAAATCATGGGTACGGGGAGAGTTGAGGTGAACGAGAATTGCTTTGCCACCAAATGACGTAATCATCCCATCCCATCCATCCTAACTCAACTCAACCCAACCCAGCCCAACCCAACCCAAACGAATCCAATTCGATCTCCCACCTTCACATCCCGGTGGATGAATGGCATGCTGACGTCATCATGCAGGTACGCCAGCGCGCGCGCCGTCCCTGCCGCCACCAGCAGCCGCTCGGTCCAGTTGAGGGGCGGCTTGTTTTGTCTAGCTCGCCAGGGCGCATTGAGGTTGTGAGAGAGGGTGCCCCCGCCTATGAACTCGTATACCAGCAGCTGCTCCTGCTCCTCCCGGCAATACCCCAGCAGCTGCACCAGATGCTTGTGGCGCGCTCGAGACAGCAGCATCACCTAAGAGGGGGAGGGGGGAGGGGGAAGGATGGTAGGAATGAATTGGAAAGGTGGGTGAAGGGGAAAGAGGGGAACGAGAGGGGGAGTTGAGGCTCTGTGGGTACGAGGGGGGCCTTCCCTTCCCTCCCCCTCTCCCCTGCCTAAGAACTCGTGCATAGCAGCTGCTCCTGGTCCTCCCGGCAACACCCCAGCAGCTGCACCAGATGGCTTGTGGCGGACTTGAGACAGCAGCATCACCTGGCAGTGTGGGGGGAGGGAAGGATGGAAGGAATAGACTGGAAGGGTGGATGAGGACGAAAAGGGAAAGGAGGAAGGGAGTTAAGGATCTGTGAGGGGGTATCCTCTCTTTTCCCTCCTCTTGAGGCGCCTCAAAAGGGCTTTTGAGGCTCCTCAAAAGGGTGGATGAGGAGGAAAAGGGAAAGGAGGACGGTATTTAAGGATCTGTGAGGGGGAATCCTCTCTCCCCCCTTCTCCCTCCCTTATGACCTCCCTCATGACCTCGTACACACCACCTGCTTCTCCTGTGCCTCCCGGCAACACCCCAACAGCTGCACCAAATGCTTGGGCTTAGCTCGAGACAGCAGCATCACTTGATAAGGGGGGAGGGGAGGGGGGATAGAAAGATAAGCGATGGGGGAGGAGAGAAAGGAGGAAGGGGAGTTGAGGTTCTGTGAGGGTGGAGTTTCCCGTCCCCCCTTATAAATTCGTACACACCACCTGCAACTCTTGCGTGAGCTTTTGAAGTTCTTGGCACAGCAGCTATTGGCGTGAGCTTTTGAGGTGCCTCAAAAGGAGAAGGGAGCGCGAGTGGGAGGGATGGCACAGCAGCAGCTCTTGCGTGACCTTGCTCAGATCAGATCATCGCTCCTCTCTTGACTGAGGCTCGTTGCATCACCACCACCACCCATCTCCGCATGATAAAAGGGAGGTTTTGACACATCTAAAAAATGCATCACTACCACCACCCATCTCTCTCGAGTGGTCCATCTCTCTCCATCTCTCTCGGCCTCACTCCATCGCACCTCCTTTAACTTGCACATGTCCTGCCACTGCTCTGACTTGTTCATCCTTTGCCCTCGCACTCACAAAAATCTCATTTCACCTCATTCCACCTCATTCCACCTCACTCCACCTCACTCCATCGCACCTCCTTCTTGAACTTGCGCATGTCTTGCCGTCGCTCCGCCTTGGCTCGTTTCACCGCCACCACCTCCCCCGACTTGAGCCTCCCTCGGTACACCTGGCGCCCCGTGATTGGTGCAGGGAAGGAGGCAAGAAAGGGAGGTGGGAAGACGCAGCAGAAGTGTCACACTCGCATCACCCTTTTGAATCATGGCGTGTCTCTTGAGGGCCAATCTCATAGCAGACATGAAAACAGTCATCTCTTCATGTCATGCACTCCCACCATCCCATAGCATCACCACCCACCCGACCCCACCCGACCCCACCCGACCCACCCAACCTGACCCGACCCGACCCGAACGCACCCTGTCCAGCCACACACCACTCACATTGCCACAGCTTCCCTGGCCAAGGTGGTTGCTGACAGCAAAGCCGCCATGCCATGCCATCCGATCCCAGCCCATCCCAGCCCATCCCACAGCCACCACTCACATTGCCATAGCTGCCCTGGCCCAGGTGGTTCTTGTCAGCAATGCCAGCATCTCATGCCATACCATACCATACCATACCATGCCATACCATACCATACCATGCCATGCCATGCCATGCCATACCATGCCATGCCATGCCATACCATGCCATACCATACCATACCATGCCATACCATGCCATGCCATGCCATGCCATACCATGCCATACCATGCCATACCATGCCATACCATGCCATACCATGCCATACCATACCATGCCATACCATGCCATGCCATGCCATGCCATGCCATGCCATGCCATGCCATGCCATGCCATGCCATGCCATGCCATGCCATGCCATGCCATGCCATACCATACCATACCATACCATACCATGCCATGCCATGCCATGCCATACCATGCCATACCATGCCATGCCATACCATACCATGCCATACCATGCAACACAGCACAGCACCACTCACATTGCCGTAGCTGCCCTGGCCCAGGTGGTTCTTGTCTGCAAAACTGTCAGTGGCAGCAACGAGGTCCGCAAGGGTGAATTCCACCACCTTTTGAATGTCAAACGACGCCTCCTCCCCCTCGCTCTCCCGCACCGCACTCACTACACGCCCACCACCACTGCCATCGCCAGCAGCAACAGTACCAGCAGCAGCACTCGTACCGGCAGCAGCGCCAGCGCTAGTGCCAGCAGCAGCAATATCTGCATTGTATTCGACATTGTCTCCCCAGCCTCCCCCATCCCCCTCCTCCAACTGCTCTCCAAGCGGCCTCCTCTTTTCTCTCCTACCCCCAAAAGGACTGGGTAAACCACCCCCGAACGGGCTGGGTAAACCACCCCGGCCACTAAGCGCCCGGCTACTCCCACTCCCAATGCTAAAGCTGTTGCTGTTGCTGATACCACTCCCACTCTCCCCACCGTCATTCGAACCGTGTGCTGCGACCACTGAGAAACCGCCACGTGGCGTGTGGGGATTGGGCGGGAGGTGGCGGTAGAGCAGGAGAGCCATGGTGGAAGCGGCTAGAGCGGAGATAAGCGCGAGAGAGAGGGAAATGGTGAGGGCTGATATGAGGATGGCACGACTGGTGGGAGAGAGAGCAGCGGGGTCACTGGTGGTGGTGCTGGTGCTGCTGCTGTTGCTGTTGCTGTCACTGATGCTGCTGCTACTAGTGGTGGTGGTGGTGTTGCTGCTGCTGCTGTTGTTGTTGTTGTTGCTACTGTTGCTGCTTGTGCTATCAGTGCTGCTGGTGCTGTTGCTCGTAATAGCAGTACTGTTGCTGCCATTGTTGCTGTTGCTTGTGGTACCAGTGGTGTTTCTGCCACTGTTACTCACGTCGCTACAGCTGGCAATCCAAGATTCATTACCCTTCTGACTGCTGCTGCTGCTGCTGCTGCTGCTGCTGCTGCTGCTGCTGCTGCTGTTGCTGCTGTTGCTGCTGCTGTTGCCGCTGCTTCTGCTGTTACTGCTCCCGTTGCTGCTGCTGGTAGCGTCTTTTATGCCGCTCTTGCTCTCGTTGGTCTTGGTGCTGTTCCCCTTGCTGCTGCTGCTATTGCCACCGCTACCATTAATGCTGCTGCTGCTGCTGCCGCTATTCCCGTTGCTGTTGCTGTTGCTCAGGCGGCTGTCACCTTCTGCCTTCAACAAGAACAACATATAAGGAGAAGATAGGGCGAAACGAAGATGCGTTGAGGGCACGGAAAGAGATGTAGACGGAAAAGAGGAAGCGGTAGAGAAAGAAGGCATTCGGAACGCAGAGACACTTTTGAGAATTCTCAGAATTGACTCAAATAAGTAACGCAGAGAGCTTATATACGTTTCAGTAAGTGAAATTTACAGGCACAGAGGGAGCAACAGCGGCAGCAGCAGCAGCAGCATCAGCAGCACGATTTACTTCGAAAGAACACGCTTCAACTGCAGCTTGGCAACCTTGACGACGCCGTACGAGTCTACGAGCCGACTTTGAGTCGACTCAAAAGTCACCTAGCAGCAGCAAATACAATTTGAAAGGACACGTTTCAACTGCAGCTTGGCACTGTGGCAACCTTGACGACACAGTACGAGTCTACGAGCCTCGCTGGCACATTCAGCGAGCGTTGCGGGTTTAACCTGGCAGGCCTTACACTCTTACCAGTCTCATTCCACTCGCGTCTGTTGAGGCGTCTCAAAAACACATTCAGGAACTCGCAGAACTTACTCTCTCTCGACAGTCGCATGTGACTCGAGCCCGCAGCTTGGCGCTCTTTGATCATCTTGACGACCCTACAGAGATGAGGCTAACAACCGTCTCACTGACACACTCGGCGTGTGTTGCGGGTTGGAACTCGCAGACCTTACTCTCTCTTGCCATTCGCATGTGACTCGCGTCTGCTTTTAACATCCTGCTGCTCCTCAAGCCGCCATTAGCTCGCGAATCCGTCGCTCCATCCGCATTCTCCAGGCGCGGTTTCGAATCCTTGCGTCGTCTGAGGATCAGTCTAGGCAATACAGCAGGTACTATCAACGGTGCTGTCTGGTCCCCGCTTTGAGAATCTGCTGGGGAAGATGGACTATTATCGAGCTCAATCGAATCTGGTTGAAAACGAATGGAATTTTGGGAGCTAAGCGAGGCTGGTTGTGTAGAGGTTTTTAACGCAGATGACTGTAACGAATCGGGAAAGCGCGGTGCTCGAGCGGTGATCCCGCGCGCTGCAGACAGCAGCATGAGCAGGCGGACCAGCAGCAGGCGCGTGTGAATCGTATCGCACGCAAGACATTGCATTGCGGCGTCGGCTGGATGCGTCAAGCCGTTTCGCTCGAATCGAAGTTTCGTCGCGCGGCGAAACGTCGCCAGCCTCGGAGCAGGATGAGGCGTACTAGCTCGAGGCGATGCGCACGGCGTCGTCACCATTATTGAACGCTGTTTACTTCAGGTGATGATGACACTCGCAATGATTCACAGGTGCTAGGTTTACGTGGTGTCATTGCCTGAAGCTTCTGGCTTCTGGACGACCGGCCATCAGGTATTCGAGCTGGTTCTGGACGAGCCCAGGTATTGAGGAGCTTATTTAATCTCCTCTACTACGCCTGCTGCCGACTGCTCTCTTTTTTCTTCGGCAATCTAAGTGACAGCTCGCCCTTCGGCCTCGGGTTATCACCACGAGTAAGGCAGGAGGAGCAAGCGCTTGAAAGCATTCAGTGGAAATACTAGTTCAATGACAGCAGAGTTGACGTGAGTGATGGAGATGGTGGATGATATTGATTCTACACGCGGAGAGACTAGGCGGATGGAAAAGGGGACCGTCCACGAATAGGGAGTGTTTTAGCTAGGTCTGAAGATCTCACTGTATTGCCCAGTGAGTGGGTGGGTGGGATGGGAACAAAACGCACTTGAAATGGGATGGGCTGTGCTTGAACAATCGACACCATCCATCCCAAATTTGCATGTGCATCATCGTTCGATCCTTCATCGTGGTCGTCGATCCTTTCCTCCCCTTGGTTTCAACTACACCTATTGCGGTTGAGGAAGAGCGTGGGAAGAGTGGCTGTACAGTGATCCGCCGTCAGTCAAGCACCCCTTCAAATTTGAGCGGCGGCGCCCCGGCGCAGTCCATTGCGCGAGTGACCCTGAAAGGGGAATGCGCATGCGGGGAAATAGGGCGGAGACGTTACTGTGCACGGACTGTCCCCGCAGTCGGGGCAAGAACCTGGAGGCAGCGAAAGATGCGGCGCAGCGAGCGCCAAGCCGCAGGTCCTTTACTGTTTGCAAACGCTTTAGAGTCATTCTTGATAAGGTGCCCAGATGAAGTGTTCATGAAGAAAATAGACATACCAGCAGACAACTGACAGTACACCACCCCAAATGAGGAACTGTACACTGTCAATCACATTAAACACAATAGAAATTAAGGCAGCATAATTACCCCACAACCAACATACATTAGCGAACGACTGACCCGAAGACACTATAACCAGAAACCAAACCTAACGTCAGTAACATCTCTGTTCACGAATCTGCGGACCCTGCTCTGCTATCATCATCTGACACAGGCTCCCTCTTTATTTCCAGCTTTGTGAGTGCTGAGTTGGGGCCACGTTCCCTCAGAATCTCCTCATAAAACCGATCCCTGAATCCAGACTCGCTCCAGTACTCTTGATACTCCGGCTTCACTCGCCGCACAGGAATGGTGATGGAATACACGGTCCCAATGTCCGGGTCAGCGGACACACTCAGCTGCACGTCTTCTTCTGATTCTATCTCCACGTATGCTGAAATTGCATCAATGATCTTGCGGCGTAGTCGCCTTCTCACTTCAGGACTTACTTCCCCTCGATCTGTGTACAGAACAAGCCGAAGCCGCTCTTTGGCAATCTCTGCATTGCTGCAAGACATTTGAGAAAGGAAGAATGGTCAAATGCTTGGCCACGAATTACTCAACCCAATGGAACAACCATGAAAGGGACGGATTTCGAAGAACAGGTGTGACTGAGAAAATCGGTTTTACAGACAGTTGACCACCCATAACTTTTACAGTCAGCGAGCTCGGTGGTGTGACTAACCTCGGAGGACGGTTTCTTGGTGGAAAGATAATTCGCCATGCCCGCTGCAACCGTTGAAGGAAAGTTAACTCAAATAGATCTTCGTCATCTTCATCATAATAGGTAGCTTTTACTGCAAAGATAATGCATCAAAGAAGGAGGATACATAAAACTGCTGAAGCCACAAAACGCAGGCAACTGAAGTAATGGCAAGTGAGCAAATTCATACCCGTAAAAGCCCGGCAGACGCCAGGCCTTGGCAATGGGTTAGCCCTAAAACCTGAAATTCCGTGAAATCCTGGTGTCAAAGCGCTTCGCAATAATGTCCGTGAGCGAGTCAACGATTGCTGCCGTACTGTTCCTAGTCTTGACTGCAAGCGTATGCAGACATGAGAACCACGTGAGAAACATGCCCAAATGCACAGCCTCGAGCGAAAGGCGAGTAACGTTTTCCAAAGTAGGAAAGCAAAGGCTTACCGACGGATTGGTCTGATAACATTTAACGGGAGAATGCGATAACGCATCTGCACTTGCAACGGCGCTCCTAGAAGCCTCTGGCAATAACGGTTGAGCGACCCTAGAAGATGACGACCACACTGCGGGTCGCGCCATTGTCTCCATCAGTTAACTACCACACGCTAAGCTGCTTCGGTACCCACCAACGACGTATCCAATAGCTAGAGATCTCAAACCTTCAGCCCTAGCTCCATGGATGTTGCTTTCGTGAACGGTGAGAGAACACTCTTTGCGAAGGCTCTCTGCGAATCACACCGTCGGAATATCTCAGCGGAAACGGGTCGTCAAGCCTGACGACCTGTTGACGACTTGACGACATGCTGCCCCGGGCAGAAAAAAACTAAAACCCCATCGGATGGCATGCCATCCGAGGGAGGCATCAACCCTAAATCCATGCCTCCCTGTGTTTAGGGTTGATGCCTCCCTGACCAAATGCGGGCCCGAATGGGTTTTATTTTTTTTGCCCGCGGGCAGCGAGCTCCCCCGGGCGGACTCGCTTGTCCGCTGAGATATATTCGTCGCTAGGGCTTCCTTTCCTCACCTGACAGGCCCTCGAGGGGAAGAGGAGCCAACCACGAAAAACGAACGGTATCCGGCCAGAATTTAGTTTTGGCGGGAAATATACAGTGTTGAGCCATGTGCTGTACTTCGACAAGGTAATAGCTACTCAATATACCTATCCAGCCTCATAAAAAAAAAAAAAAGACAAGATCGAGCTATCCAACATCATAAACGTATTAACGCAGTTGGTCATGTATGGGTAAAAAATGTCAGCTCCTGATCCTAGTAACCGTTCAGCGTTTTCTTTTTGCTCTCGAAGTAGCCTCAGGCACCGTTTCTTTTCTTTTTCCGCTCCCTGCCACGGTGGCCTTTGCCTGCAGTCCTGAGATGGCAGTTGACCACAGTGCCTTCTCTACATCAGCAGCTGTGAACTTAACGAGTGAAGCCTCCTCTTCATGTGACGTGGAACGGGCACAGTCCTGCTCTGCTTGCCCTTCTGCTCCGACTGTAGCGGAATCTGTAGCTCCTACCTGTGTGGTTTTGTCTTCGAGCCGATTCAATCCCTGTCGAGGAAACAAGGGAGGAGGAAGAGATTCATCCAGTGATTTAGGTTCAAGAACAAGGAAAGGGGCATGCGGCCTCAAGGCAGGAGAAGTTTACATGCTCACACCCTTGGAAAAGATGCAGAGAAATGTGCTCGCACTGAAACGCGCTCACACTGAAACAGGCTCGCACCGAAACCTTCTAACCCGGGCCAACGTATGCAAACAGGAATGCACATGCGCCAAGAAGCTACAGAGCACATTATGCTTTCCAAGCCAAAAGTTTGAAACGTTCCACACCTCACAGATATTTTCAAACAATCTTCCCGGCGAAGGTAACAAAAAAAGTGCCACTCAGCTTACCGATGCCTTTTCACGCATGGCCTTGGCAAAAACGAGGTAGCGGCGAAGCGAGTAGTCTTTGCAGTCCCCCAACGCCGCAACCATGGCCTGGATCACTGCGGCAGGGAGGGAGATGAGAAGAGAGGCAAGGACAAAGAGGAAGAGGAGGGAGCACACAGAGACTGACAGGAGGAAGGCATCCCAGTGCTCATGAGGTAGCGGCGACGCGAGTAGTGCTTGCAGTCCCCCAACGCTGCAACCATGGCCTGGATCACCGCGGCAGGGAGGGAGATGAGAAGAGAGGCAAGGACAAAGAGGAAGGGGAGGGAGCACACAGAGACTGACAGGAGGAAGGCATCCCAGTGCTCATGAGGTAGCGGCGACGCGAGTAGTGCTTGCAGTCCCCCAACGCCGCAACCATGGCCTGGATCACCGCGGCAGGGAGGGAGATGAGAAGAGAGGCAAGGACAAAGAGGAAGGGGAGGGAGCACACAGAGACTGACAGGAGGAAGGCATCCCAGTGCTCATGAGGTAGCGGCGACGCGAGTAGTCCTTGCAGTCCCCCAACGCTGCAACCATGGCCTGGATCACCGCGGCAGGGAGGGAGATGAGAAGAGAGGCAAGGACAAAGAGGAAGGGGAGGGAGCACACAGAGACTGACAGGAGGAAGGCATCCCAGTGCTCATGAGGTAGCGGCGACGCGAGTAGTGCTTGCAGTCCCCCAACGCCGCAACCATGGCCTGGATCACCGCGGCAGGGAGGGAGATGAGAAGAGAGGCAAGGACAAAGAGGAAGGGGAGGGAGCACACAGAGACTGACAGGAGGAAGGCATCCCAGTGCTCATGAGGTAGCGGCGACGCGAGTAGTCCTTGCAGTCCCCCAACGCTGCAACCATGGCCTGGATCACCGCGGCAGGGAGGGAGATGAGAAGAGAGGCAAGGACAAAGAGGAAGGGGAGGGAGCACACAGAGACTGACAGGAGGAAGGCATCCCAGTGCTCATGAGGTAGCGGCGACGCGAGTAGTGCTTGCAGTCCCCCAACGCCGCAACCATGGCCTGGATCACCGCGGCAGGGAGGGAGATGAGAAGAGAGGCAAGGACAAAGAGGAAGGGGAGGGAGCACACAGAGACTGACAGGAGGAAGGCATCCCAGTGCTCATGAGGTAGCGGCGAAGCGAATAGTCCATGCAGTCCCCCAAAGCCGCAACCATGGCCTGGATCACTGCGGCAGGCAGGCAGATGAGACGAGATGCAAGGATGAGGGGAGGAGCACAGAGAGACCGTCGGGAGGAAGGGCACCAGATTCTCACATGAGGGAATCAATTGATATTTCAAGTGGTTGAAGGAGATGGGGTTGGGGGTTTAGGGTTCAGGGTTTGGGGTTCGGGGAGTTAGGGTTTAGGGTTGTTGCAAAGGCAGCAATGGAGAAAGAAACATGGATGGATGCGTTTACATACTTCACAGTATTTCGCTCCTGAGAAATTATCTTCGCTTTGTAGATCTCTGCTCACCTCATTCGACATGAATGGAGCGGCAAACGCAGCCAGCACAGCAGATGCTGTTGCTGCTCCAACGCCCTTGAGTTACGAAAGTTCTGTTACTGCAGCCTTTAGACTCGCTTTAGCACCTGCTCCCAAACGTGCTCCCAAGAAGAATCCCTGCTCACCTCATCCGACATAAATGGAGCGACTTCAGGGGCGAACGCAGCCAGCACTGCAGATGCTGTTGCTGCCCCAACGCCCTTAAGTGTTGACAGCTCTGTTACTGCTGCCTTCAGGCTAGCTTCAACATCTGCTTCGGAATGAGCTCCCGAACCTGATCCCGAACCTCCAGGCGTGGTAAGGGTGTGGTATGGCGCCAGAGCAGCGAAGGCTCGAGATGATGCGGCCTGGACTACATTGGGGTCGAGATGCTTGACGAAGTCCAGAAGACGAGGGCTGATAGGGGAAGGGAGAAGGAAATGAAGGGAGAAGGAAAAGGGAGAGGGGGAGCGTGAGGGGCTTTGAAGTCAACACAAAGATGATGCGGTTTGGATTGCATCAGAGTCAAGCTGCTTGCTGAAGCTCAGGAGACGAGGGACGGTGGACGAAGGGAAGGGAAAAGGTAAGGGAGAAGGAGGGGAGAAGGAAGGGGGGAGGGGGCGTGAGGGGCTATAAGTCAACTATAAGTCAACACAAAGATGATGCGGTTTGGATTGCATCAGAGTCAAGCTGCTTGCTGAAGCCCAGGAGACGAGGGACGGTGGACGAAGGGAAGGGAAAAGGTAAGGGAGAAGGAGGGGAGA